GCACCCTCTGTTTCCAGTACGGTCTACTTTAAACCCATAGCTACATTGTGCAAGTGAAAAAGCATCCCATCAAATATGTTACTTCCGTATGAATTTTCGAAACTGATTTCATGTGAATTGTAGAATAGTTCGTAAAAAATAGAATTTTAATGCATCAACTTTTTCGAATAAACCAGCTTTAAAACCTTGTATCACCCCCACAACTCCAAAAGAAATAAACGGATTAGCAAAGAAGAATCCCGAATCTACCAACAATCTAGAAATACTCATGCACCAAGATATTCTAGAATAAAATAGAAAAAATAAATCTACTTGGATAAAATCATATAGGCTATTCTTCCAGCGCGCATCAACAGCCTCCAAAATCTAACCTCATTGCCCTCCCCAGGCCGCTCTAATTGGTAAGGATTTATGTTTCTTTCTTATAATTATTGAACTATTTGTTTGGTACTGTCGAATCGCCAAGCCGGGCTCTGCACCACCAGGGTTAGGTAGTACTCACCACTACTGGCGTGTTCTGATACCAGTAATACTTCCAGATCTGTTTTCTTGCATTCATAAACGTCTAGGGTTCTTGACGATTGCAAGATTGCAGTCCTGAATGTTTCATACTTGTCCTACTGAGACCTTCATAATTAAATTAATGATTCCACAACCATACAGAAAATGAGCACTGTCCAACTATCATGCTTACCGCATTGGTTGCTTACAGTGCTAACATGCTGACTAGTTGATGCTTTAGACATTAATATTTAAACTAAGAAACTCTCCCTTCTCTTGGCCTCTAAAGGCTTGCGGGAGCTCCTGTATTGGTTACCGGTTAAAAGGTTGCCGGATAAGGAACCCTGGCGCCGCCAGGCTTGCTGCAGTATTTTGGGCACCGGTCGTAGTCCGATAGACAGCAGCCCTGTCCAGATGCGCGGTTCCTAGTGGGTTTTCGCCTTTGGTCGGGCGCTAACCTTTTCATAAGGTCAAGCAATCCATTAAACGATACTACAGCCTTTGCTGCTCTAAACCCGCCCGGGACATCAACGGCTACATCAATGGACGGGGAACGAAATAAACAACTATTCGCCCTAGATCAATGTGGGAATTTTAAAAGATTCCCGACGGTATCTGATAACCATATGAGCTTGGTCACAGAACCATGCGGTGCTAATTGCATTTGCTCCCGCATGATACCTGGACTGGTATCTGCATCATACACCGGACATCACTTTCTACCCCACCGTAATACTGATGAACGCTTCACGTGCAAAATCACTAGCGACGCGCACTAAGTGGGCTCGTGCGATCATGCGTTTTTGCAGTATTTCATAATGTAATGAGATCGCTAGAAGCCTAGTAGCTTGGATTTGTGACATACTGGCCCTCGAAGTTCTGGAAGTTAATTGTCTACGCGGTACATGGACAGGGAACATTCCGTTAAAACTTCAGCTTTATAAATTCTTTGGTTCTTGAGTTAGCAATTTTCCTGCCAAAAAATTTCGTGGGTTCGTACATGAGAACCACAAGTGTCTGGGAGCTGAATTTGATATCTTTAGCTTTTACGGGAGGCTGGGAACAATCCCTTAAAATTTCGGCCCCAGCTTTCCTATTTCCCCAGTTAGCCATTTTCCCACCAAAAACTTTCACGG